GGCTCTGCTTTGCCAGGCTCCGAATCGGAGGTTGCGCCGCCTTGGGATGCCGGCAAGGTGCTCCGTGCTAAGAAATTTTGTTCTTTTAGAGGGGGCTGTAGCCCTAGGAAATTTCGAGCTAGGTGGGTACATAGGTCCAAGTAGGGCGTGTACTAAACCCTAGCGAGCTTATCTTCTCGCCGAGCCAGCGAATTCGTCAGAGCTTGATTTCTGGTGGCATGGGCTTTCTGTCGTGGGGGTGCCTTGCGATGGCTACAGAGGGTATCAGCTTGCAGATTGATGTTGATTTGTGCACTCATGGTATAAATTGGGTTTTGCACAGCTTCACCGAGTGTACTGGCTAGGCGCCAACAGTTGATCTCCATATTCTGGGTCTGGTTTCAGTGTTCTGTTGCCAACTTCCAAAGCATTTACTGTCTGTTATTCTGATTGCATTGTAAATTGCAAAGTCCCAAATATGGAAATGAACCAATTTGGGGTTTCCCTAATTTATTATAGCCGATTTGCTATTTAATAACATGATGAACATTGTTGCACATGTCAGTTCTCCATAGTATGTGATTTGCCCCTTAAAAAGAAAAGGTACAGGTTACACCATAAAAAAAACATGAAGTTATGGTGAATACATTAAGTGTTGATTATCTTCCTGAACAAATAGGGGTGAAGCCTATTGTAAATTTGTTATGTTTAGTTCTTTAAGTGTACTCTGTGATACACATATATTGTAGATTGCTTGCTTGCACTAAAGCTCTTCCTTTTGCTTCTCAGTTCTGCCGGTGCTTCATCTCCTCCCGCGCAAACAAATGTAGCTACCATAGATTGGTTAGGCAGCGAGCAGTTATCTAAAGTTGGGTCATCGTCCCATGTTGCTTCACATGCTGCTCAGCCATCTCTTAGTACTAATGCTGTTGGTGCTGCTATGGATTTTTCGCAACCATCATATAGACCATGGGAACGAGGAGATTTACTTCATCGACTGGCCACATTTAAGCCTTCAACATGGGCTTCTAAACCAAAGGTTGCTTCTTCTCTCTTAAACCGTGTAACTTTAAATTTGTGTCCGAGTGTACTGTTGGTTACAGTAAGGTGATGGTATTTCCTTTCAGTTTAGAACAAAAGTTTTCTCAGAGGAATGTTTAGAATAACTGAATAATGATAAAACACTTAAAAGTGGTAATGTTGGTCATTTCAATCTCAATCTAACAATTATTTCGAATTGAATTATCACTTGTGCCCTCGATATTCTTCTCTTTTGCTCTGTGTGTCCACAGCCCACTATGACACTATTTGCACAGACCAAGTTAGGAAACACTTATTGTGACTGTGAGAGAAAATGAGAAATGTGCATGCATACAAACATGCTACAATCACTTGAACTCTTCCAAATCATTAGAGAATGGAAAATTGCAAAGAGACAAAAACTGCACTCTTGGTTCCCTCAGCGGACTTGTGTTGAAACAGGGACTCCCAATGCCATGTATAGTTACAGCAAAACAGAGAGAGTAGTGATGATTTTCTTGTAAGTCTGCTTTTTTTTTTGGTCTTGGTGGTGCTGAATAAGACATTCTTAACGTACCTTTCAGCATCTGTGTGCTTGCATTATTCATGCCTATGTGCAGTTAAGATGTCTGTAGGAAAATTGTCATGTTTTCCCAACTGAAGCTCCATTCAATCAAATGATGCATATGTTAATCAT